TATACAAAATCGCGTACCATTAGTCAACAAAATGATTGGATTTGCATTAACAAACTCAAAATTTCTTTTATGGATGAGTTTCATATGTTTTACGTTTTATCATTGTTTTCGTTTATTCTTGTCTCTGCAGGTGGTGATCCATTACTGCTGTTATATTTATTGATCCACTATATTAGTATGATGCACTTACATGCAGTTGACATTACAGAAAGGATCTACGGGAGTGTTAACATTGACGGAAGAAGAGAAGAGAACTTTGATAGCCGAAGGATATCCCGTGCCCACAAAGCTTCCATTAACGAAGCAAGAGGAGAAATCTTTAAAGAAAATACGAAGAAAAATTAAAAATAAGGCACGTATAATAAGATCTCAAATACTCCAATTTTCTCAAATGTTATCCAAGTTAATACGAAATTATAAATAATGAAATAAGTGATGAAAATTACTAATTTTGTGCATATATTTTTTACAGATATCAGCGCAGGAATCACGAAGAAAGAAGAAGGAATATATGGATGGTTTAGAGAGGCGGGTTACCATGTTGACGAATGAGAATTCCTCTTATAGAGACAGGCTGAATTCTCTAGAAGATACGAATCGCGAGCTAATGAAGGAGTTACAACGTCTTCAGGCTTTGCTGCAGCTACAACAATAGATTTATTCATTTCTATCTAGAATAGCCTAAAGCCTTTGTTTGATGTCATTAAAATTTTTAAGAAGACTTAACGTTAATTGACATTAAGTATAATTGTTTTCCCTAAAAATGAATATTTGATCTGACGAATATTGCAATGATTTGCGATAACGCATGAAACAATTTCATATTGTTACGGAGATTACAAATTATAAAATTTTGAAAAATATTTTAGATTTTCAGATCTTTTACAGATATTAATATAGATTTATCTATAATCATCAAATTGCTCTTCCACAGAAATTTTAATCCTTACAATTGTTATGAGGTAATGAAAATGGCGTGTGTTTCTTGCTAAGTCACAGATCAGAATTGAAAAGAGATATATTTTTAGGGATTAGTGCAATTTCTTTACATTCCTAGAATGTCTTCCTCACATACAAAATGCGACGAAGTATCTTGCAGCGATTGAAAATTTATGAATCCCAAATGCTGCAAACTGCTTCAATTTCTTTAATAACAAGATTTTACGCCAATATAATAGTAAGTCGTTATATTCTTCGCTAAATATTTTTGCAACATATTTTTGCCAGGAGTGCCTTCACGGATTTATTTCTATATTTCTTCCAGCTTTGCATACCGTATAGGAGGTTAATCTCTTGCAATTATATATTTGACTTGAACTTTTAATTTTAATGAAATAGAAATATTTCAGAAATATTCGGGATTCGAATGTTCCATCAGCAATGTTTGTTGCATGTTGCGGAAAGCAGTTGCCGGCTATTGCCAAACTCGATGCAACGATAATTTTTCGAATAGATGTTCAGGTGTAAATTATTAATTATTTCCTATATTTGTGGTTCGAAAATGGCGACAACATTTTAAACAGATCCATTTAGGATCCGATAAAAGTACATTTGACGTCTATAAGCTATTATATATCGGTATATAATCTATTTTGACTAGTTTTGTCATTTGTTTCGCCCATATATAAAACAAAATACATATATATAATATATGACATATTTTATAGAAAAAAGAAGAGAATATGAAAGTACGATTATTATTATTATTATTATTATTATTATTATTATTATTATTATTATTATTATTA